ACACCCTGAGACAAATGGGCAGACTGAACAAATGAACAGGATTTTGCAACAGACATTGCGTATGTACATTCGCCCCGATCATATTGAATGGGATGAACATTTGCCCAAAGTTGTTAGTGCCTATAATAACTTTGTGCACTTGTCTACTTGCAAAACTCCGATGGAGTTATATTTGGGATGGAGTCCTCGCAGACCTATAGACTGTCTAAACTCGGATAGAGCACATAAACTTCCGCCAGGGACCAGAGAGTTCGCAATACAGTATCAGAAAGATTTAGAAAAGGTAAAGGAGAATATACTAAAAGCGCAACATTAAATGATTGAGCATGCCAATAAGCACAGGAGACCTTCTCAGTTTGTTGTAGGTGATCTTGTTTAGGTGAAATCGAAAGAATTTATCCCAGAGGAAAACATATCTTAGAAATTGTTACCTGCGTACAAAGGACCGTGGCAAGTTTTGGATGTAATAGGAGATATAGATGGACCCTACTATGTTATTGAGATACCTCCACATTTGCATACCTACCCGGTGTTTCACGCGTCAAAGCTCTTACGTTGTGTAACTAATGAACTATTTCCCAATCGAAGATCAGCAATTCCTCCAAGTATGGATGGAAAATTTGATGTTGATAAGATCGTTGTTGAAAGTACTATCCAGACTGGACGCAGAGGTAAACCTCAGCGGCAATATAAAGTCATATTTGCAAATCAGGATCCAAGTGAGGACCGCCGGTTTTCTAGGGACGAGCTAATTGAAACTGCACCGAACATAGTATCTTACTATGAAAGAGCAAGAAAAGGTCTCAATATTGTGGACAGATAAGGGTTTCTTAGAGGACTTCGAAATTAGGCCGGCGAGAGTAAAAGGGCCTTTACGAATTGGATCCCAGATGAGTACCCCAACAACGAGGGGCCCTGTCGGCCATAACTTAAATTCACGAGCAGCAACCCAAAAGACAAAGTTCCTGAGGCAAATGTCGCATCCATAATGAAATGAAAGGTCATTTTGAACAGTCACCAACAGGTCCTGAACGAACAGGTATTAGACACAGTTTTTAAGACTGACAAAAGGGTCGTGTCTCCTTGATGGAAAGTCACGTCTGTTCGACAATGAGTCAAAGGCCACAGTCCCAATCCAGTCATAATCCCACGAGTGAGTCTTGATTCGGACCAGGAGTCCATAGACAGGCCCGATGGCCCAAAGCAGCAGCAGACCATGGGAAAAGATACTGGGACACACACTTTGCAACAACGGGTATTGGGCAGGAGTCCCAGACACTTGAGGCTAAATGCAGGGCACGCCAGACCAGTCCAGCACCATAAAGGACTGGCCAGCCCCCCATTTGACACATGCTCACTTCGCATGAGAGTGTGCAAGCGTCGTGGCACTTGTGCGCTTGACGTGTGTGGGTTGTGCTAGGCTGAAGAGCAGCGCTATGTGAGAGTGAAGAGAGTGTTGGCTAGAGGGAAGGCAGCCATAGCTGCACCAGCGCTAGTTAGTACTTTAGTAGGGATAGTTAGTAAATGAGTTTAATGAGTAGTATTCAAAGTAGATCCTCGTGTGATAGGGAGTGTGCATGCATGATTGGGAGTAGACCAGGACAATAGACATAGAGGGAGAGAGAGAAGAATGCAGACGAGAGAGTGGGAGGTGTGAGCTATGGTGACACTTACCTGTTGCGCGCTGTTGTTGACGTTTGGCAGCTGGCGCTGATGAGCGTCAGGCTTGGAACTCATGTTGACCAAAGAAGACTTGTAACTCTGTTCAGCGCTATACATTTTGAATTCACGAAATTCCTCTCTTAATCTGGTTATGATAATTGAGTTGAGCTTCCTGGTTCTCATTCATTTTCTATTGGGCTTTGCGTGAGACTTCGCAATCTGTTAAATATGTGAATATGCATGTGATCTGATGCACTCCAGCAAGTGATGAACAGTCAGGTTCCTTGCACGTGTGAGTAGAAGGATTGAGTATCCTTGATAGTAGTTTTGTCAAGGGAGTGGGGAAGGAGGTGATAACGCCATGGTAAGTAAAACTCATGTCATCTTCTTCTTATAAAATTTCATTTGTCTATGTACTTGCTGATAACGCCATGATAAGAAAAACTCGTGTCATCTTCGTCTTATAAATTTCCATTTGTCTATGTATTTGCTGACTCCCCTTCACCCTGCTCTACTCTCCTGCCCCGCGCCATCATCCCGGTGCCATGATGTGCTGTGTTGTGCGCTTCGTGGTCTGAAATCTTCGTCCCTATTCGCCCACCCATCCATTCGAGGCCATCCGTCCGTCAATCCATCCGTCCATCTATCTATACCCATCCATATCCATATCTCTCAGTCCATCCATCCATGTTCATCTATCCATATCCATCCATCCTTCCATTCACTCATCCATTCACATGTCCGTTCTTCTATCCGTACGTTCGTTTGTTTGTCCATCCATCAATCCATCCATCCATCCATCCGTTCTTTCATCCATCCATCCATCCATCCATCCATCCGTTCTTCCATCCATCAATCCATCCATCCATTCGTTCTTCCATCCATCCATCCATCCATCCCATCCATCCATTCATTAATCAATTCACTCATCTGTTCTTTCATGCAGTAATCCACTACGGAATGCTCATCCACATCTTGTTTTCTTTTATTTTGGCAGATCAATTATTAAACTCATCAGAACAGATACCACAGTTGATCGTCAGCACATGTCGATCCGTCTCGCGACAAGTCCTTCAACACGTGTCATTCGTTGCTTACTCTTCCTATTTCTACTCATTTTCCTTTCCAGGTCTAAAGAGTGTGTATCACTGATCCATCTGCATCTGTCCATCCCTCCTTTAAAAGTCCATTCACCCACCCATCCAGAGGCGTCAAGGGGATTTGTTGAAACTGCTTTCGCGCTTCTCTACACACAACGTTTGATGGCGCTTCCCTCCCAATCTCCTTGATTCCGTCGTTTTCACAAATATACCCCGCAGCGCCACTAATATACCCCGCAGCTCCCTGTGGAATCTCGCTCCTGCAACAACGCTTGCCCTCTGAAGCCAGAGCACCACTAATATCTACTTCTTGTGAGAACCCAATATTTTCTATCAACATGCAATAATCCTTTTCTTTCTCTTCTCTCAAATTCACCTTTTACGACCTACCTTCCGACTACTCCTAGCTTAAACAGGGGACCCCTGCAGTATAGCTACCTCTCACAATCAACGGGATGCATATACATTACATTAATCCTGAGCCCACCGGTAGAAACTTTTTTCTTTCTTTTTTTTTTGGGCGGGGGGGGGGGGGGGGACACAGCACACAATTCCACCCGGATGGAACTAAGTAGGGGGCCCATCACACAACACCAAGCTCCCCTCAGCGCTTGCTGGAAACGCGGCGTCGGGGTTTTGTGCATGTTCAGAGTATTGAAACACGCAGCGCCACCAATAGATGGAGCAGCACAACAGATAAGCCCTCCATTCTGATGGTTCTCTTACCACCGCCGGGATTGAGGGCTTACACAAGGGTTGAAATTAAATAAAAAAAAAAAAAAAAAAAAAAAAAAAAAAAAAAACGAGGCTTGTCCATGATGATTCAATTTGAGTTCGAGCTCAGAAGCGGAAGCATGTTGTCGGCCATAGCTTTTTCCTTTCATCGAGCTGCGTAGTGACCATTTGCGAAGAAGAGATACTCATCCTGGTGGCTTGCGTTCGCATCGGAAAGTGCGAGAGTCAAGAGCCGTGACCAAGTCTAGGAAGAAACCGATAACATTATATATAAGACTCGGAGAGGGGTAGAGAATGCCAGAGGCGCCAGAGGTAGTGAGGATTTATAAGACACTGAGAGTAGTAGAGAAAGCCAGAGGTAGTGAGCAATAAGGCGAGCGGAAGATCATGCAGTGGTTACGACAGCCGTTAAGCCGAGGGTAGTTTCTTCGTTCAGGTTTGGCGTATTGGCCTGCCCAATGCAGGTACCACAGCTATGGCTACCCCGAACAGAGGAGACGGCCCGACGGGGCAACTCCCCTTACGTATGGTTGTGAATCACCGTGTCCTGGCTGTAGTGGTTAAGATACCTGGCTCTTGAGGCCAAGGTCGCCGGTTCGAATCTGTGCTTGCACGGTGGAGGACGTCGGGCTCATGCTGGGATGGGTAGCGCCGTCCTGTAACCTCAGCGTTGGGGAGCTAGATGTGCAGATCCATTTAGCTGTTGTGGAAGCACCCGTTAACCGCGGGATATGTGACCCGTATAGGTGGACGGGAGGGAGTACCAGTGGTAAGGGTTTGTGCTGATTGACGAGAGCAAGGTGTGCGAGAATTCGTCATGTCTGTGTGGTGTTGTGTGTGGTGTTGTGTGTGGTGTGTGTTGAGTTGGACACTACAGCCTTGCAGGGGTGGGGTGGATATCCCGACCGGTATGGTTCCACTTTTGAACATCATGTCCTGGCTGTAGTGGTTAAGATACCTGGCTCTTGAGGCCGAGGTCGCCGGTTCGAATTCGTGCTTGCACGGTGGAGGACGTCGGGCTCATGCTGGGATGGGTAGCGCCGTTTTGTAACCTCAGCGTTGGGGAGCTAGATGTGCAGATCCATTTAGTTGCTGTGGAGCCAGAGCCGTAAGGTTCTGTTTTTTTTTGTTTTTTTTACTATGTATATATATTGTATGAGAATGTGATAAGGGTCGACCGCTGCAAATGGCCATTTTCGGGAGACGAGAATTGAGCTGACGACGCTGTACGGAACGCCGCGGCCGGTGCAGAGCGCTCTGCCCTCGCGTTACCGGGTCGTTCGACCCTTGGATTGTCCGAGGCGCTACCAGCACGATAGCCCTCGGTAACTCTGATACTTTCCCCTGCTCGCAGGGAAAAGCAGCTATGGTGAAGAATGCTTCCCGCACCTGAATTCGGAAGATCGCCGCCCAGTGCACGTAGAGGTAGTCGAGTGAGTATCGAAGTAAGGAGACAAACGGTAGAACGGTCATAGACGCAGCCAAACGTGGACTGACGTCGCGACTTAGAGGTGAAGCTTCACTTAGAAGTAACTACAAGGGAAGGCAATGGAGGATGCGGATGCTGATGGAAGGGTCAGGATGGAAGCTCAATCTCCGCCACCTGGGCCTTCGGAGCAAATAAACTATTGGGAAGAGGAAGATCGCATAAGAGGACTGCTTACTCTATGCTTCGACGATGGGGTATACCCAACAAACTTGGATCCAGGGGAAATGTCAGTACAAGGAAGGGAAGTCAAATTCACGCTCAACACTTCATTGGACGAAATCAAGATTAAGTGGTTGAAGGAAAGGACAGTTTTGGTCATCTTCAAGGACAACTCAAGGTTCATGCCCAAGAAAGTGAAAGATGACATCATCAGAGCCTTCGAGGACAGCCGGATTATCGGGAGCGAACGCTTCCCACTCGAAGTCAGAAGAGGCAGAGTTAAAATTGAGGGGCCGAATGCTCTGTCAAGAGAAGTCGCTGAATTCATGCTAAGTGAGGGAGGAGTGGAGATTCCTATCAGAAACGTGAATTACAAGATTTTGTTCAAACCATGGATGACGAAAGCGGAATTCAAAGAGCTAAGAAGGCAGGAGGACGAGCGTACCTTCTGGGTGATGGCTATCCAAATTCCATTGGACGACATGTCGTTCATCTACTCGCAAATTGAAAGAGCCATTGGCAAGATAGTACTGGCACATCCGCCAGACAGGGACGTGACCAGACCGGCGCAGGTGAACGCAAAATTTGATATCGTTCCGAAAGCCCGAAGCAATATGAAGGACAAGCTGTGGGTGATAACCTCGAAGGGAGATGAGTTGGAGGTGAAACTGGCGTGCTCTTCGACGCCGAAATGCCGGATTTGCAAGCAGTTTTTTCATACGGAGTCGGAGTGTCGCAGAAACGAAAGACCTCAAAACAGAGAAGGCGGTGTCAACAACAACGCCTCGTACTAGCAGGCAACTCCAGCACACTCAGGGACTGGCAGAAGAGGAGAAAGAAGACATATATATCAGGGCCCCTTGGGGCCCCAACCAGCTCAAAAGGCGCCCGCAATGGGCAATGCCCCAACAGGCTTCCCCTATGCGGCAGCAAATCCGGTCTTCTCGCCAGGAGGAATTCTTCAACCAAGTCCTTCGATGGCGCACTTGCTCCACATGATGGCGGCACTGCAAGGCCCCAGCCTACAAGGCGGCATCCCAGTCTCAATGGGAATTGGCCAAATTACAGCCAACCACCCAACGTCTTTGGAGGAGGAGGCGTCCCGCAAACGTCACACGGCTCAGAACAGCAAACTCATGGCCAGAGCAGCCAAGGACAGCGGCCTCCTTTCATGCAAGGACCTTCTGCCTTCCAAGAGTATCGGCTAGGGCTGCACGGGAGACTCAAGACCCCCATTCAATGGGATGAATCCAGGCGGCACAGCGGCTATGGGGAGAGCACATCAGGGTGAAGAGAGAAACCTACATACGTCTAGTCAATCACCACGACGGGGAGGCGGCTCTGCAGATCACCAGGGCGCTGACAGCCAGGGAGGAGACCAAGGAGAAAACTTTGCCACTCCTTCACAAGCAGCACCAGCTAGCCAGTCCAATCTGAGAGATGCAGGGAAGCAACGAAGACTCAGTATGTCTTCGGTGAAGGAGCTGAAGACAGAAGCTTCTGGAGAATCTTCAGCTCACTCGCCTGATCAAGGAACCTCAACAGCGACCCCAGGCAGGAAGACTACAAGAGACAGAAGACTCACTTCGGTGGTAAAAGGTCAAACCACAGACATGGAGCAGATCCTAATCCCGTTGGTCGCCACGGCTGCAAGGAACCTGACTGTTCACAGCTTGCTCGAGTGCATCAACCCGCATGCATACATGTCATCACATGTACAAAGTGAACTCACACAAAACCAGATTGAGATGAGATAAGAACCAAATAGCGCAGCTTATATTATCAATGTCTCTTAATACAAAGAGTATCATGAGTTCCAGAGTTCGGCGCCAACAAGAGGTAAGTCTCCCTCGTCATACAACAGCATGGGACCTGGCTCAGCCAGCGTCCTCCTTCCCTTCACAAATGTGGCGCCAACAGGTAAGTGTCCACCATGTCCAGACTCACTCCCTGTCTTCTCTCTCTCTTGCTCTCCTTTCTCTCGATAACTCTGTCTTGGTTCTCTCCTTTCACTATGCATGCACACTCTCACCTACGAAGATCTACTCTGAATGTAACTCACTGATATCCCACTACTATCTCTCCTACCACTAACATAGGTTGGCGCAGTTATGGCTTCCCTGCAGCCAGCGCCCAACATCCCTTCTTCCTGGCGCAACTCTTTTTCAGCCAGCGCCTCTCCAGCACTATAGCGCACAAGTGCCTCAGCACTTCCACGCATCAATGCCTAGGAGAATCTGTCTGTGGGGGAGGCTGCCTCGTTTCTTATAGTGCTGGCCTGCCATGGCGAGGTCTGAATTCTGCCTATCCTGGTCCTTTCCCAGTCCCAGCCTTTGTGTATGTGTCCCAGATCCCTTTCCTTCAGGGGTTGCTGCTGCGGCGGCCTTTAGGCCTTGATTTCGGAGTCCCAATCTGAATCTCGACTTTCTTTATGACTTGAATCCGGACTGGAACTTAACTCTTTGACTTCTTCTGGACAGACATACCTAATGCACGAACAGACACTCTTGCTGCACGAACAGACACATTGACTGTATGTACAGACACATCCCTTGTTTGAATAGACATGAATTGCATTGCCTCTGGCGAACAGATGTGACACCCAAATCCAAACATGATGACTGTTCGTCCAGGGCTCAACCATAACCTTTAACATTGTTTTTACTTTAGCCAGGATGTGACCTTTGACCAAGAGAACATGTCTTTTGATCTGCTTTCACGAATTGGGCTCTGGGCGAGGGACCCCAATATGTTACTTTCGTCGAACAGGGGCTCAATCGGGTAAAGGCCCTTTTACTCTCGCCGGCCTAGATTCGAAGTCCTCTGAGAAAACCTTCATCTATCAATAATATTTATTCCTCTTTTAGCTCTTTCATATGCAGATACAATGTGAGGTGCAGACTCAAGTAAATTTTCTCTTGTAAACCAGCGATCTTTACTTGGGTCTTGATAGGCAAATCTTACTTTATATTGTCGCTGGGGTCTGCCTCTTCGTCCGGTTTGGAAAATGCTTTCAGCAACAATCTTATCCACATCGTATTTCCCATCCATACTAGGAGGTATTGCTGATCTGCGACTGGGAAACAACTCATTTGTCACGCAAGGTAGAAGCTTTGAGGCGTGAAACACCGGATACGTATGCAAATGTAGAGGAATCTCAACTACATAAGAACGTCCATCCACCTCTCCAATCACATCAAGAATTTGCCGAGGTCCTCTGTAGGCGGGTAGTAACTTTTGGGAAATGTTCTGCTCAGGAGCAAATTCTTTAGACTTTACCCACACCAAATCACCTACAGCGAATCGAGATGGTCTTCTATGCTTATTTTCTTGTTCCACCATTTGGTGTTGTGCCTTCACTATATTTTCTTTTACCCTTTCAATATCTCGTTGATATTGTATTGCAAATTCACTTGTCCCTAGAGAAAGCTTATGTACTTGATCCGGATTTAAGCGATCAATGGGTCTACGTGGTCGCCATCCCAAATGCAGTTCCATTGGAGTCTTGCATGTAGATAGGTGAACAGAGTTGTTATAGGCACTAATAACTTTGGGCAAATGTTCATCCCAGTCAATATGGTCGGGACGGATGTACATGCGCAACGTCCGCTGCAAAATTTTATTCATTTTCTCAGTCTGGTCGTTTGTCTCAGGGTGTCTACCTGATGACATAGTTAACTTAGAGCCATAAACATTCATGAGTTGTTGCCATTGTTCATTCATGAAACTGGAATCTCTGTCACTCACAATCGTTAAGGGATGTCCATAATCTTTTACCCAATGGTTAAATAATTATCGGATTACTAAATCAGTCTTGGCTTCCGCGGGTAATGCTACGAATACAGCATACTTACTAAATCTGTCAACGATGACCATGACTTGCGTCTTTTCATTCCTGCTCTTCACCTTGGTATCCATAAAATCAATGGATACGGAGTCTCCTGGACCTGTTGGAATCGGCAAAGGCTGTAGTAGTCCAAGGGGACGTTGCGTTGTACACTTGTTTCGTAGGCACACTTGACAACCTTGCACATAGGCAATGCAGTCGGCTTTCATGCGAGGTCATATATAGGAACTCAACAGGCCTGCATAAGTCTTTTCCAGCCGAAATGACCTTCGGTATCATGGCATTCCCCCAAGATCAAGCTTTTGATCTCTTCGACATTTGGAATGCAAAGCCTGTCATGCACGTCTGTTTGCTCAAACAACAGTCCATGTGTAACTCGGTAGTTAGGAAACTCCTGTGGCGCGTCTTGCACACGTTTAATCATAGCGCCAGAGACAGGATCTGTGGAATACGCATTTCTAATTTTATCTTGCAAGTCGGAGCCCATATCCAAGTATGTCACGACGACACCGAAAAAGTCAGATCTTCGACTTAGCGCGTCAGCAACAACGTTATACCTACCCTTAACTGGTTTCAATTCAACGTCGTATTGATCGATCTCAGCGGCCCACCTTGTCAATTTAGGTGTCATCAGGGCCTGCCTTTTAAGCCAGCGAAGTGTCTCGTGATTTGAGTACACTTTAAAGTGGCGTCCTAAGAAATAGTGTTGTCAGTGATCTAGAGTCTCTCGAAGAGCATACAACTCTCTTTCATACGTGGAAGCGGTGACCTTCTCATTAGGCAGTCGTCGGGACATAAACTTTACAGGTCTATACCCATTCCCATCATCTTGCTCGAGTACAACACCTATCCCGTACTGACTGGCGTCGGTTGTGACGACAAAAGGCAAAGAAGGATCAGCAACCTTCAAAACCGGGTTGTTAATCAGATATTTCTTTAGGCGTTTGAACGAAGTCGTACAGGTTTGAATCCCACTTCCAAATAGTTTCTTTCTTAAGCAATTTGCGAAGGGGCGCGGCGATTATCGTGAAGTGTTTAACGAACTTCCGATAACAGTTGGTCAGCCCAAGGAACAACCGCAACTCAGTCAAAGTGCGGGGGTTAGGTGAATCCCGAATTGCTGCAATTTTTGTATCCTCCGGTTTGATACCATCACCATCAAGCACATTCCCCAAATAGAAAACTTGACGCTTAGCCCAATCACACTTCTTCGGGTTTAACTTCAATTTTGTTTCACGCAACTCATTTAGCACAAGTCGAAGGTGCTCGCAATGTTCTTTTAAATCCTTACTAAAAATAAGAATATCATTGAGATATATCACCACAAATTTATCAAGCCATTCGTGGAAAAGCTCATTCATTGTTCTTTGGAAAGTTGCAGGTGCATTCGTAAGACCAAAGGGCAACACCACGAACTCATAGTGTCCGTACCTTGTCCGAAAGGCAGTCTTGTATTGGTCTTCTGACTCCACTTCAATTTGATGATAGCCAGACTTCAGATCAATCTTAGTGAAGTACTTGCTACCCTGCACTCGATCCAACAAATCATCTATCCTTGGTAATGGCTCAATATTTTTGACTGTTATATCATTAAGTCTTCTATAATCTATACACATGCGTACCCCGTCATCTTTCTTTGGTACGAATAACACAGGTGCACCATAGGGCAAGGAGCTAGGTCTTATCCACCCCTTTTCCAGCAGTTCATCAAGCTGGGCTCGCAGTTCATCTAACTCTTTAGGTGACATCCGATATATAGGCCCCTTAGGAATCGAGCTTCCTGGTATGATTTCGATGCGATGTTTGATTGGTCGTTCTACCACACCGCTTGGGACCTCTGCCATATCTGCGAATTCTTTCAAAATCTTTTCAATCTCAGGGGATTTTGCCTCTTCCTTAGCTTCACCTTCTTTCACCGGGTGCACATATGCAACAAACACTTGATCATATAGATTATACTTTTTCACGTGGGGGACGAATGCGGGGGCACTCATACAACAATGAGCTAAGCTGCTTTCCTTACCTGATTCATGAAAA